TCGTCAGTGGCAGCTTGTCCAGGCTTTTCACCAGCGTATCTGGAGGCGTTGGCAGCTTGAATATCTCCACTCCCTCCAGCAGCGATCCAAGTGGACCACCCCTCATGAGAATTTGAAGACCGGAGACTTGGTGCTCATTCACTCCAATTCACCTCCACTCACCTGGCCTCTTGGACGCATCGTCTCCACTCACCCTGGCGCTGATGGAACAGTTCGAGTCGTCACAGTGAAGACAGCTTCTGGGACTTTCACACGGCCTGTTCACAAGGTCTTCCCTCTGCCATGCAATGAAGACTAAGTCCAAGAAACCTACTCTATGTACATATTAGATTTAAGTGTGGTTTACGTTTGCTCTTGTGTTTTTTAATTAATTGTCTGTTGAAGCTGTAATGCTTCAAGGGGGCCGGAATGTTCGGTATTCATATTTTTAGAGTATTTAGAAATTAATCATTATGTTAATTAAGTCACTGGTTAATTAATCATGCTAATGTGTATATAAATCACCACATTTATTGTAATATTATTTAGTCTCAGTAACAATTTATTGTAAATAGACTCCCGCTTTCAATATTCAAATGAGATTGCTAAGCCTGCTCGAATTTCCCGCCACAGTAAGGCCTATTTTCCTGTACTACATACCCATGAATCACCTGACGCCGTGTTTGCTTCAATCGCATTTCCTATTGGCCATCGAATTCCTAGACCCCTCTAAACCGCAATTGCATTTTTCAAAGTGTGAAGCCGGCGATCGGCGTCTGTCTGTCCACGGTCGGCGTCCATAACTCACGGTGTATTCCGTTTCTCGTATCTCGGGACATTAATTGCCCATTTTACCTCTCTTAAACGTATTTTTAGGCTATAGATTAATTATATCTGGCCTCCCTCTCCTCTATAGTACATTTAACTATATATACATTTTAATTTCCCCCTTTTGTTTGTGATTAAATTACTTAAATTGTGATCTAGTGCTTTCAGACTCTTCAAACCTCAAGACAGTGTGTGCGCGTCCGTGTATTACTTCTAGACTTTCCGTACGTTTTCACCGTGACTTCCGCGTATTAGTGAGCTCTTTGTGATTATGAACTTGGGTGCGTTGCGTACTCCAAAATTCTACAAAACAGAAGCACTCGGTCTAAGGACTCCGCCATCCGCCATCGCTCCACCATAGACGACGCCGCTGCCATACTCTCCACCTTTGGACAATTGGACTCAAGGTACAACCTTAAAGTTTTGTGTGTGTTTTAATTAGACTCTAAAACTAATCTCATTTGCCCCTCACAAGACATTTTATTCCATCTCGGGACCTCAGTGCCCTTCAAATTGCAGATTCGCCATTTTCTCTAATTTAATTATTTTTCTCTTGAACTATTAATTAGTTCTGGTCCTTCGAGTTATTAATTATTTTCATTTTCACCCATTACGCCCCCAACAAACGGTATCAGCATTCTGACACATACTTTCTCCAATAAGTTTGTCAACAACCTTTATCATGTGTAAGGGGTGAGAGTAAATATACGGAAATGGGATTAGTACAATTTTGTTCGGAATTTAAAGGACTACATACAAAATTTTTATCAAAATCGTTCGGGCCATTTTTGTGAAAATCCGATTTTTCCGTTATTTTATGGGGTTTTTTTTATGGGAAAATAACATTATTTACAATAACTTTTGAACTACAATTTTTACAGAAATGGGATTTGTACCATTTTGTTCAGAATATAAAGGACTATAACATACCAATTTTTTTATCAAAATCGTTTGGGCCGTTTTTGGGAAAATCCTATTTTTCCATATTTTATGGGGTTTTATAGGAAAATTCCCATTAAAAAAATTTAAATGAAAAAACTAACAAAACTTTAAGGACCATAACAAACTATGTTAAAATAAAACCGGATTTTTTTCTAAAATCCTATTTTTCGTTATTTTATGGGGTTTTTATGGGAAAATAACATAATTTACCATAACTTTTGAACCGTAATTTTTACAGAAATGGGATTCGTACCATTTTGTTCAGAATTTAAAGGGCTAAATCATACTAAATTTTTAGCAAAATCGTTCGGGCCATTTCTTAGAAAATTCGATTTTTCCGATTTTTTTTGTTTTTATGGGAAAATCCCCATAAAAATCAAAATTTAAAAAAAATTAAAAAAAATGCCTGGAGATGGATTACAAGGAATGTATGGGGGTTTAGTGAGTGGGAGAAAATTTCGCGCCGTTCCGGCCAAACCTCGCTTGCGGGGTTGGTTCGGCTGATTGGCCACAACCTAAACCCCAACTCTCACTTGTTAGCTGCGGAGAGCTACCTTCTGCCACTGGGTGTTGGTCCACCTACAGAACCAAGTGAGGGGGGCCCTAGACTAAGGTGTAATGCAATCCGTGCCAAGAGTCTTGTGGCACTGGGAGCCTAATATTCAGTGTCTTGACGGAGCCTTCTGGGAACCAGGGCCCAGTCGTACGCACCCCTTACCTCTCTTATCGGCTCACTGGGGAGGTAGACTTAAATATCCGGTATTCGTGAGAACAATGAAGACAATCTGACCCAAATGGAGGAGGAAGGTCTACTGAAATCTGACGATGACGACAAGCTCGCAGAAACCGGAAAGGAACGAAAAACAACTTTCCAGGAGCGAGTTGCAAAGATGGATGACAGCTGATGCTTAAGCTAAAGGCGAAAAGGTGCTATCCAGAAGTGAGATGAGGCTGGCGTGGGCTGCCAAGCACCCTAACTCTGCTGCCTGCAAAGCCAGTTCCTCCGGGAACTAGGATGCTGGGAAAAAGCAGGGCAAGGGTGGTACCCCCAAAGCTGACTCTAATGAAGCCTCCAGGAAGAAAGGTGGAGGCTGTGCTGACGCAGGCACAAAGGATTGGCTGGTCAAGCAAGTTCAGGAGCTGAGTCCTTTCAGGGAAATCTCGCTACGGCTTGCCCCAGCCAGAGACCTTGTGAAAGCTGTGAAGGTATATTTATGTGCCCATCCCTACAAGGTCTGCGTATGAGATCCCTTGGTCTATTGATAGGAGATCAAAGGGAAGAACAGGTCACCATAGTCAAAAGGCTCTCACGGTTCACCAAGGACCTGGGATTTGACGGAGAATGAGGACCTGTGAACGAGGGTGCACAATAAGCTGTTCTAGCTCTAGCTACGATGCAATGCCATGATAACTTATAAGCCTGGCCCTCTGTTAAAAAAAACCAATGAATTAGAACCTACATACCAAATTTCGCTGAAATCGGACCACAGGTGTAGCCCCTAGCTCTGACACAGTAATTACACACAGACACACGCACACACACGCAGACACACAGACACACACACACACAGACATCACTTTGAAAACCACTTTTTAGGGTTCAGGGGGACCCAAAACCAATATATCCACTCAAAACTCAAACTCGAAAATTTTTACGAAAACAATACTTTCTCCATATACTATGGTATAGGTGGAAAAAGTAAAAAAATCAAGAACCGTTGCTGCTCTATTAACATGGAACCACTATTCATTCAGTATAGTCACGTATTCTAGGAATCGAAACCCTCTTACCCCTAGAACCTCCCCACCCCCCACGTATATCTACACTTGACCGGAAAATGGACTGACCGCAAAATGGAAGACACCGGAACTTGCAAGCGCTTCCCAATAAGCGCTTCAAGCAGCTTTTGTGTGAACGCACCACATCGCAGTATGAGATTAAACGACCTGCTAGGCAACCAGCTGCCTGCCCTGCTCCACTGTGTTTTTTTTTTTTACCCCAACACACCTTACACCTCAAGCGTGCGTTACCCATGTTCTGGTGTCATTATTAGCAACCAAATCAAATGCCTTTTCATAGTATCCAACTCAAATAATAAATTTGCTCCAGACATACATTAGTGGATATTTTAGTTGCAGCTACAAGAATGAAAGTGATTAAAACAAGCATAGTAAGTTGATGAAAAGTCTCTTTTCTTATGCATGCAGTAGAATGTAGATATTCTATGATAACATGACTAGTGTAATAATTAAGTCCACTGCAGGTTGTAGAAAGTTGCAATAAATACTATAACTTTCTCCTCGCCAGTGAAACGAGGGTCGCCGTTGGCTGGAACCTCACATGCGACAACTAACCGGGTTGCGGCTGGGTCAGGGGACCGCAAACCGTGGCTGCTGTAAAAGCCAGTGAAAATATCAGTAGCCTCCCCGTGATGAACCCAAGTATAAACTTCTTACAGTCAAAATTGTATTATAATTTCTTTAGATACATACAGGGTCCTCAAAAATCCCGGAACAGCATTTTATTTTTTGAACCATTGCAGATAATGCAACGAAGCTTTGCACATAGGTACTATGCACAAAGTAACTACACAATTACTTTTTGAAGTAATAAATTATGTTTCCATCATGCTAGGGATGGTTCTCAAGGAGTCTGTAGGAAATTTTAGACGAGAACATGGGTCGAGAAGTACATCAAATTAACGGTATTAGGAGAACACAGTGCCGCAAACCCGACTCAAAAGGTTCACCCGTTCTCCCTAGCCAAAACGGCGGCGGTTTTTAATTTCAAACTTGATATGTCAAACAAATCTAAGCCGTTATTTCTTGACGTATGCTTTTCTTTAATAATCCCCATTCAAACACCACGTAGACCAAAGTATTCAGTATGGTGGAAAACTTGATATTTTTAGTATTTAAAAATAGATTTTTAGGTGTACAGTATTACTCATTTGCAAAGTTTTGTTGCATTATCTGCGAAGATTAAAAAAAATAATAGACCGTTTGCGGACTTTTGAGGTCCTGTATAATATTACTTTATGACGTGTCTAATAAGGAATAGTGGGGTCCGTGGCGTCTCAGTTTTTGTCGTGAATATCATGTGTAATTAAACGAAAACAAATAATTGGAATGCCTGCAATGCGTGTAGTAAGCGTCTTGTGACTACCGACCATTCATTTGCACCATATTAACAAGGGACACCATAGTCTGAGCTCACATCGCCTATATAATTAATGAGACTGTCTGTCTAGGTACCAAGCAGTCAAGTCCTCGTACCAACACCAGGGAAGCTTCTATTCCCGTGACAAGCTCCAGGACTTTAAAGTTTTCCACGGCATCCCCGCCAGTTCTCAGCTCCTCGCCAACTACGATCCCTTCTACAGCCCCTTGCTGTCTCGTCTGGACGCCGTGTTCCAGCAGCTCGGCCACACTGATGAGGTCTGCAGAGAGAGGCTCGTGTGTCATATGTACAACAATCCCGCCAAGTTCGCTCCCTTCAGCAACCTCGTCTCCGCCCAGCTCAGCAGGTAATACAGTAACAAACACAACAAAACCTCCCTTTCCCTAAGATTACCCAATCTTCGAGATTAAATTAACTATTTTAAACTGTAGGTTTAACTTTTAGCGTATTTAACGTTAGGCAATATATGTAGCGAACCTAACTACTAGGTTCATTCACCTTGTTCGTGAAAGTTAATTGACGTCCATCAAGCGTAATTTATTTAATGTCCAATACGATGAACGGTAAAGATGACAAGGCAGTAATTAGCACTTCAACAATTGGCACACAACAATGAATCGAGACGTTCAACATGCCTGAGGGTAAACAATTTCTCTTGTTAGGGCCGATTTGAAATCAATATTGACTTGAGATTTGAGGTCAACATTAGCCATTAGCAAGTACAAGAGAGATAAGGAGCTGGAGAGAAAGTCCCGAGCATGTTGGCTCATCCATCATTGTATACATGATTACTTGAAATGTGTGACAATGCGTCACGTGTGGGACATCCACCGCTATAGTCAATAGTCAGTAGTCAATAATCAGCCGTCAGTAGCACACGTGACTTCCTCTCTCATACGTTCTAATAGTTTTGATCCGTTCTCTGGTCTCTTTCAACCTAAATACGATTTCTAGTGTAGTGGTCAATGGTCATGCGTGTACGAACAATATTACGCGTTTTGCTGTCATTTTCATTTAGTTTATCCTATGTAGCAGATACAATTACATGGCTGTTCACACTGTCGACTGAAAATTTGAAGTTGAGAGGACAAAATAGAAGAGAAAAAATAAGAGATTTTCACTGACCGCTTTTTGCTTAGAATTTGTTTATGAATTGTTTTAATTAACAAGTAGGATGTACTGGGAGGGTGCTATTTAACCTGTCAAATTGGATCAGCAGGCGTATATAATTACGAAGAAACCACACAGTTTGATGTATTTTGTGTCGGTATTTTTCAGAAGCGATAAACAAACTAGGCTTTTTGATTGAGAACGTTCTCGTTATTTTGCACGACAACGTTATAGAATGTATTTACGACTGGTCTTTATACTTTAATCCGTTCGTGATATTACGAGCCTTATAACGATTTAATTCCACAGCTTCTCGAGCTTTTTGTGAACAAAACTATTAGCTGCAGACAAATATATTAAAATGTTTCTTTTTGGGGGTTCAGTATGGTAAAATATGATTTTTTATTTGATCAATCTAGAATCTTTTCTGAACATTTATCAAAAATATTATTAAAATATGACAACGGGAATTACTTTCAATTTGTTCTATTTTAATTGTATAACTTTTTGAGTTTGAGTTTTGAGTGGATATATCCGTTTTTGGACTCCCCTGAACCAAAAAAAGTGGTTTACGAAGTGATCTCTCTCTGTCTGTCTGTGTGTGTGTGGAAGTGTACAGAGCTACAGACCACACGAGTAGTCTGATTTTTATGAAATTTGGTATGTATAGGCACTAATCCATGGTATCTCCAGGCGTTTTTTTCAATATTTCGAAATTTTTTCAAGGTAATTTTCACATAAAAACCCATAAATTAATGGAAAATCTGATTTTCTCGAAAATGAATAAACGATTTTTATAGGTATTTAGTATGTTGTAGCCCTTTAAATTCTAAACTAAATGGTGTAAATTCCATTTCCGTAAAAATTACGGTTCTAAAGTTATTGTTATTTGAATGTTATTTTCCCATAAAATCCCATTAAATAACAAAAAATCAGACTTTAGAAACAGGCAGGTTTTTATTGAAACTAGTGAACCTGTGCGGCTCAATGCCCCGCAAAATAACACATGAATTTAGAAAACAAATTCATCGTATTATATATTGACTCGACGACGTAAATTAAACAGTAATAATGAAGCCTTGGAAGGAGAGCAGTCCAGCCATTTTCTAGCTGTGTATTATAATTTTAGTAAATTACTTAAAACAACATATAATATAGTTGCTCATGACTGAAATTGGTCTGGGTAAGAACAGCGCTGCAAATGCCAAAGGTAACAGAAATTAGCATCTTTCCATTTTAAAAGGTAAGTTTGGGTAAATTTTTATCCTCGAAATTAAAATACGTCCCCACTCACTTGTTCCAGTTAAGACTTTACATTCTATTAAGTTGTTAACCATTCTGATCACATGAAGCCTTGTGCCATTAATAAGGCCCATTTGGTGTATTAATATTCCTCATCAATAAAACCCCTGCCCCCTTTTATTAAACTAATCTGCGTCTTGGCAATCCACTGACCTCTATATTTAAAAACTCAGTTGGTTTTTCTAGATGGGTGTCTCCGCCTTCGTCTGTTTTCACGGACCCACTATATTCTTCCCCTTGGTATACTGACAATTAATTACCCGACTTGTCAAGTTCATGTAGTAATTCATTAATACTGTTAGTTTATAAAAAAAATTAGATAAAAGTTTCTTTGGCTTGGTGCTTTCATAACTGCAAACTCAAAATACACCCACAAGTAAAAAAGAATCAAGATATTGGTTAAAAAAAAACTATGTTTGTGTAATAACATTATTCACATGAAGTAGATGCTTTGTTTGATTTGTCGATCAGCTGTTTAGTTTCAAATGAATTAATAATGTCAAAGATTTGTGATTTAAATACATAAATTATTACAGTAAAGTTTTCTAAATCATGGTAACTTATTCTCTACTAAATTTTACTATTCCCATTATTAAAATAAAGTAGTAAGATCCATTATGGGTAAACTTTAAGGTACACAATCCTTGATTGAAATGTAGTAGGTATACATTTAGAGTCATAATACACAGCAATTATTAGACTTTGACTATTTTCAAGTAACAAACATATGTTTCTGTAAATACAAATTATCTCCCATGTTATCCTTATGGAGAAATACGAAACTTTAAAGGGCTCCAGGGCCTCAATCTCTCATTATTTCCCTAAAAAGAAATTTTTCTGCACAACTTCACGTTACCCTCTTTCAAATAACACCAAAAACATGTCAATCGGTTCAGTAGTTTCGGAGGAGTAATTGTCACAAAAAACCTGCTTGCGTATTAAATAAGTATAGATTAGTATGTTATGGTCCTTCCAAGTTTTGTACGAAATTGGACAAATCCCACTTACGTAAAATTACGGTTCAAAAGTTATTGTAACTTATGTAATTTTCCCATAAACCCACCCACCCCCATAAAAAACGAAAAATCGGATTTTAGAAAAAACCCGGGTTTTATTAAAATAAATATTTAGTTTGGATAAATATTTGTGGGCATCACTCACCTTATTGAAATCAGTAGAGCGCAGCCTTTGTCACCACAGGTCATTGTAGCTTATGGGAGAAAGTATGTGTCAGAATGCTGATACCGTTTATTTCGTTTTATTACTGTTAACATTTATGAATTTCAACACGATATGACAATTTTTAACCGAAAGAAAAGCAAAAATGTCCGTGTCTTCCTCCTCTATACCAATTTTAAAAGAGGCAAAATAGGTGTTGTGTGCAATCCTTATTCAACTCACTAATACAGTCAATATATTAAAATGTCGATTTTTAAAGTAGAAATACCGTACTGAAATGCGTTCATGACTCATATACTGGATTGATATACTGTAGTTGATATAAATACCCCCGCCGCAGCAAACCTGCCGACTAAGCGAATTTCCATTTCTCTGGATGATTTTCAATTGAATCTATTTAGGTTTAACGAGTACCTAGGTTTGCTGCCACAAGGAAACTGAAACTAATAAAGTGTGTTTTAGTAAAATATTAATAGCTTAGTATAAAATAGATAAATTTGCCAAGTTTGATCAAAATATATCCATAAACAAGCAAACTTTCTCCGTTACCAATAACCGTACAAAAACACTTTGACATACTAAATAATTTGTTTTTTTAAGCTCTTTAATATGGTCTAGAGATAAATTGGGAAATTTTGTGTTTTGGGGGTCAAAAATGAGAAAAACCAATTTCACCCCATAAAACCCACCGGAAAACCCCGTTCCCATGGTCCGATCATGCTGGTTCGCGAACTCATTCAAGTTTATCTTGCCTTACACCTTTAAACCAAATTTCATCAAAATCGGACAAAATTTACTCAAGTTATCAAGTTCACGGACATATATATATATAAATCTATCTATACTATTATATAAAAATCTAATGGTGTCTGTCTGTATGTGTATTACTAATAGGTGCAAAAACTACTGAACCAACTGGGCTTAAATTTTACAAAAATATAGCTACCATACCAAGGACCATCATAGGACTATTCACATTTCGATACTGACCGTAGGCTTTGCCCCTTTGGCTTTAAAAGTTCTGAGGTGAACATTTTAAAAGTAAATATTGATTGGTCTCCATGGTTGTGATGAGAACACTAACAATGTTTGTTTTCATTTGCTTTGACATTTAAATATAAACAAGAAGAACTGCTAAACTGCATATTTCACAATTTCAGACAGCTGATACAAAGAAATTAAATATAATATTTTGCATCAAATATGAGGTAGGTTTATTTTAATCTAACCTTTTATCATGGATTATTTGTTGTTCAAAGGTTTATTGCGGACATTTTCCATCACGAATGTAAAAAACAATACACAACGTTTCCGCAATAAACCTTTGAACAACATTAACTCACCATCACCAACAATGAACTTCAAACAAAGAATGGATTATTTATTCTAAAACTATGTCAATGATTATTGAAAAAAAATGTATAACCGTTGCTGTATCAACTCCGGCTCTGCTTTGGATTTTTTAAAGCGTTTTAAGTCAATAATCTTAAGAGAAAATAATGTTATTGATATGTTTTCATGGAAACAGTATGAAAATTACCATGTATAGATGTTTTGTATGAATTTGGAGGCTACTTTAAATAAAATCTAACTGCTTCACATGTGTTAGATTAACTTAACATAACTTGCACATCACATTGTTTTTTATATGTATATTTAGGTAAATTAAGTTATTGTGTTTTGCTTAAATTAAACTAAAGAATATCATCAATAACTAAATTGTCATTGATTTTTGTTTTCTAAAATCTGTTGTATATGTGTAACTATATTTAACTATCAAATGGTAATACAAAATACTCTTATTTTATCTTAACATAGCTTTCAGTTCACATTTACTTTATTTGATACATTTGTGTTTTGCCACACCACTGATTAAATTAAACCAAGGAAAATATCATAAAACTAAACAGTACACAGTGTTCTTTTGTTTCTAAAATCAATGAAATATCTGTTACTATGCTTTCTTAATGGTAAGTGCGAAAATATAAAGGCAATGGACGACGGAACTGATTAAAAGAACTGGTTTGTATATTAAGTTGTTTGTTGATATTTTTGTATAGGTAGTAGAATCAGAGATGCAATGAAACATATACTGAATTTGCTATTACATTTTTTAGGCCTTGATGCTTTGATAATCATATTAGTTTTGTCTGCCGTCTTTAATGCTAAATTATTTTTTTGCAATTTTTTATAGTACCTATAGATATAGTTTCTTTAATATTTCAAAAGACTGTATTGATAAGGCACAGCAATATTTATTTCAAAAGTTTATAACAGCTGACTTAGTTTTGCTAATGATTTATTGTGAGTGAAAAAACTGAAGATGAAAGGATTTTTTATTTAATATAAAGAAGAGTTTAATATAAAGATATTTAAATTTAATAATTAGTATTTTTGCAACTTCAAAATTGAAAATTAAAATGTCAATAATAAATTAAAAGATGTGTAATTAAGGGAGATGAAGGTAAATCTGGTAAATCATGTATGTCAAAGTTTTACTCGAAGATTTGGTCAGTTTTTCTCATATCAGACTAAACAAGATTTAAAATTAATCAAAACCAAAATGGTGGTATCCCCTACTTACCAGATTTAAAAGTCATAACTTAAAACGTTTCTATTAAGGCCATAAAAGTTGAATTTTGTTTCTAAAAGCGTTGGCGGATGTGTAACTATTATATGCAAGAGATAAAGATTAAAATGTTTCTATTTTGTGTCCTCTTCCCGTTGCAAAGCACGGGTACAACAGCTAGTATTGAATAAATATATCGTTCACTATTGAGGGCTACTATTATTATTAATAAATGAAATAAATAATTAAACATTTAGTACCCTTTTTTAAGTTATTAAATCTATATATATATATTATATATATATATATATAGGCACCTCAAGTTATGCAAGATAAAGCTATGTTCGTCCCAACTAAAAAACGTCAATTCAAATATAATTTATTTCTAATTTTTTAATAACTGAAAAAAGGGTACTAAATGTTTAATTATTTATTTCATTTATTAATAAATCTATATATATATATATATACATACATAAAAATTTGAACGAATGGTATTTTTGGCCTCTGGGGACATCAAAATGAAAAAGTAAATCGGTCCCCGGCCTAGGTTTTACCGTGCCACCTACGGTAATAGCTCTTTCCCTATAGGGAAATTCGCTAAAAGGAGCGTTGTTTAGAAATTGGGAGTTTTTTTTATATAAGTAGTTTAAACATTCTTTAAACACGTTATTTCGATGAAACGATCATTACAAAAATAATAATTCAAATTTTATGAACAATTTATATGTTTCTTACACTTTACTGAAGTGACTACAGTATGTTAAACCTTTGACTATTGATACAACAGTTACAATTCATACCAACAACTGATTCTTCAGTATACAATAGCCAATGGTTATATAAAGTGAAAAAAACACATGTTACAATGTGACTAATGTTTTGCACATATAAATGTAAAATAAAATACATGGCTGTAGCCTCAGAGTCTCAGCCTAGCCACTGAGGATGCCTATTGAAAGCGTTGTATATTTATTTTACGTTGTGTTTTTCTTGATTCAGGGAGTTGAACGAGTTGAGGAAGCCGTCGACCGACAACCCGGAGATCCTGCGGTTCTTCCGCTACATGAAGGCGGCCAAGGACGGACAGGACGGCGCGGAGTGCGACAGGACGTACCCAGGGTGTGCGGTGTCGTTGGAGGCTCCGGCGCGGGCTCCCATGTTGACCACATACAACAGCATCGACAAGCTAGTTCAAGCCAGGAGACTCGCCTGAACCACTCACGTCCGTGGGTGCTGACTAAAATACTACTTTGATCACGTTCGACCAAAATATCTAGTGTTTTGATCAAACGTAATCGAATATCGTTGTTGGGATTGGGTGCTTTGGACGTGGAGTGGGTACCGATTTTTGTTATTGGTACAATAAATGACTATAAACATCGTGAACGTGTATCCATCGCAAATTTTATTTTGGGATTGGTAAATGTGTTTTAGATGTATAAATTGATCAGCGGAGTAGAAATTACGTTCAATAACTAAGAGCTGTTGTTGCTTTCGAATCGACATACCTTTTGCTTCCATGCAATATGGTTATTGAAAAAGAATAATAAATATTTGAATTATAAAGCTATAAGGGTATGGAGGCGTTGTGCAAGCGTTGCTAACGCTAGTGTTTGTTGATATTATTAAATAGTAATTCTATAGGTTTCATAAAATAGTAAAGTGCGATAGTAAAGTAACTTCTGGGGTTCCAAATACGTTAGATAGTATAGTCTCTATATTAGATGGACGAAGTAACATATCCTTTCCTTTTGAGAAGAAACTCTTGCGTTTGTCACGCATGTAAAACTCTTCAAACATTTAAAACTCTTAAAAAGCATAAAAAAGTTAGACATGTTATTTTCTTAACTTAAACCTATGTTGAATGTATTCGCGATGGACAATGTAGCCATATTTTCAGTGAATGAATCAACAACAGTTTAACCTAACACTTGATTTCCAGTGCCACAGCTAGTTTAAAAATAAAACATGGCATCAAAATATCCTAAAGGTAGAAATGGTTACCTATAAAATAAAATTTTAGCCTCGTCTTAATTATATTTTATCGTGACATTTTATAGCTCTAATCACATTCTAATAATTGGCCTTAAATAAGAAATGGATGGAAATGGCCCCACCAAAGGAGTAAGAATCTATAATTATTGTTTATAAGGACGAGTTGTTAGTAATTTTCTTAATATTATGACATAAAACGTAGACTGCATGGTAGAGTTTGGGTTTATTTATATGCTGTGTTAATTTTTACTCTTCACATTTTCTACCGTATTAAAATGCAACATACACTATTTACAGTATTTGCAGTTTTTTACTCAAACGTACGTAAAAGTTTGAAATTTTATTATTTCAAAATAATCTACAGATATTAAGAATTTAAATCAAGTTAATTTGTTGTGTCACAATATTAGTCTTAGAGGCTATTTTACTCGTAAGCAACTTGTAATAAGAATGTGACTTAGCTGATAAACCAAAAACGAAGTGAGAATGTAGTGAAGGATCAAGTATTTATTGTATGACTGTATTTATTGAGTGTGTGTAAATATTTATAAGTGTGAATTAGTGTGAAATAAAATGTTGTTAACATGCTCAAAGAAAGGAGTTGTTTTCATTACTTGTATATCACTCTAAAGTTTATAGACCATGGTGGAAATTTCACAGCAGGATAATTTACACATTTTGGTTTCTGAACTATGGTTTGTAGAGAAGCAAAGTTACGGACAAAACAAATGTTTGACCAATCTGAACTATGTGCAACAATGGTATTGAAAACGCAAAAAAAATTCTTCAACGTGCGCCAAGGTTTATAGAATTTTGCCATTTTTTAGCGGAGCGAAGCGAAGCTCTACGGAACAATGGAAACTTTCTAACACTACCACTCAATAACGGCTAAACATATTTTAGCCAAACTTACCAAGGTTGTTTCGACAAACGTTTGGAATGTTTAAGACGACACAATTTCAGTTTTTGATTATTCCTATATAATTTAAAAGTAACTAGATTTTTTTTAATTTTAACATATAGCCAAATTTTAAATTGTTTTAAATTTTAACTAATGTTGGATTGCCATGATGGTTACAAAATAGCGACGTAAATAAACAAAACAAAGAATCATAGCATTTAAACATATCAAGCCAATAAAGACCTAAACACAGTACAGAGCATAAACCTTTGGATGATCAAATAATACAGAGAAAGTATTACACGCCATTTGGAAACTACCACTGATCGAATAGGTACAGTGTTCACATATTTTTTGTAAGTAATCTAAATTAGGTTTAACAAATAATATTTATCTTAAGTGATTGGGAATTAAAACAACTACATGAATCAGAAGTTTTAAATAACAAGGAATTATCAAATAAATATTTTTTATCTAAAAAGGCTATTATGAAGACGCGGTCTTATTATTTACTTTAAACAGTGCAAATAAACTTCTTATCCTAATGTGAAATTTAATGTTGAGCCGTTTGAGCGTGTCGGGAAACTGGCAACTATAAGTGTGCCAATGTCGACTAAATATGGCCATATTTTTGTGTTTGATAGCAAATATATAGGCTTATATATTTATATATAAATTAAATTTAAAATAATAATAAGCTGTATTTAATTAACTAATAAAGCATATTGTCAAATTAATGTTTATGTAAGTTTGTTATTATCAACAAAACACGCGGTCTACCACTGAGTTAAAAATCGTGAAAACAATGTTTTTTTTTTACTAAACGTGACATAAATTGTCTGCAATTGTCTCTTACACATTACATAAACTCACTCACCATGAATAAGAACAAGAACTAAACTCATTCTGTATAGAACTGGCTGAAACGTGATTTAAACTACATTATTAAAACTATAGATCTAATACAACCTATGAATTAATGAATGCACAAGTTGTAAAGAAGGTAAAAACATTTTTTATTTCCAAAAAACAGCAAAATCTTTAAACGCTTATTAAAAATAAAAGTAAAATTATAGTTAACATCTATTCTATATATATAATCTTATCTATTCTATATCATTCAGTTTTAAAAATCTTTGTACAACTAAATCTAGAGTTCTACTGGACCGATTTTATTAATTAATATGGGTCGTTGGAAAGCTTAAGTCATGTAGATTTGCAATATAATTATGGAAGTTTGTTTTTGTTATGATTAATGGTGAAAATTAAAAATACCCCCGCCGCAGCAAACCTGCCGACTAAGCGAATTTCCATTTGTCTGAATTGATTTTCAGTTAAATATATTTTAATAACATTAGGTTTAACGAGTACCTAGGTTTGCTGCTACAAGGAAACTAATAAAGTGTGTTTTTGAGTAAAATATTGATAGCCTAGTAAAAAATAAATAAATTTGCCAAGTTTGATCAAAATATATCCATAAACAAGCAAACTACAACATTTGACAATATTCTCCATAAGAATAACATGGGAATTTTAAATTTAAATTTTTTTTAATTTTCTTCGTTAATAATAATTGAACAAAAATACTTTTATATACTAAATTATTTGTTTTTTTAAGCTCTTTAAAGAGGTCTAAAGAGAAATCGGGAAATTTTGTGTTTTAAGGGTCAAAAGTGAGAAAACCCAATTTTTACCCCATAAAACCCCCCGTAAAGCCCCGTTCCCATGGTCCGATCGTGCTGGTTCGTGAACTCATTCAAGTTTATCCCGCTTTACATCTTTAAACCAAATTTCATCAAAATCGGACAAAAATTACTCAAGTTATCGCGTTCACGGACGTATATATATATATATATATATATAAGTCTATATATATATACATATATAAAAATTTTAACGAATGGTGTTTTTGGCCTCTGGGGACATCAAAATGAAAAAGTAAATCGGTCCCGGGTCTAGGTCTTACCGTGCCACCTACGGTAATAGCTACTTCCCTATAGGGAAATTCGCTAAAAACATGTTTCCATAAGAAATACATTGAAAACGGTGTTTTTCACTCTTTTTTTGGGTGCGACTTTTGGCTGCCTTTTTTAGTATTTCCAAGAAGTGCATGGTATCAATTTGTAGGAAATTTTATTCTCTTTCAGAACATCACCTTCCACTTTGGTCGATTTCCTCACCATTTAAAAGCTATTTGCAAAAAAGCTAAGCAACCTCTGAATTTATAGTAATGGTAGTAATGGTAGTAATGGTAGTAGCAGTAAAAAGAATATTCAGTTTAGGATATTTTTGTTAAACTTTGTACAACTAAATCTAGACTTCTACTGGACCGATTTTGTTAACTAATTGGTCAATGGAAAACCTAACTCATGTAGATTCGCAAATAATTATAAAATTGTGATTTCATTAAATATTTGTAGTAAAAAAGTAAAAATAACAAAAATACATTAAAAATTGCTTTTTCAAGTTTCCATTTTCAAGGTTATTTTTGAACCCAGCTTTTGGCTGCCTTTATTAAGTATTTTAAAGAAATGCATAGTAGTTCTTTGTAGTAAATTTTATTCTCTTTCAGAATATCACATCCATTTTCCCTCCTTATAAAAGTTATTGGCAATAAGCTAAGTGATCTCCAAATTTATAGGGGTGAGAAAATACTAAATTAGACATATTTTTGTTAAACTTTGTACAACTAAATCTAGACTTCTACCGGACCGATTTCTTGACTTAATGGGTCGTTGGAAAGCCTAATTTGTGTAGATTTGCAAATAATTATGAAAGTTTGATTTTATTAGATATTTGAGGTGAAAAAAATAAAAATAAACAATAATACATTTAAAACTCCTTTTTTCCAAGTTTATATTTCCAAGTTTATATTTGTGGCCAACTTTAGGCTGTCTTTATTGAATATTTTCAAGAAATTCATAATAGTAATTTGTAGGAAGTTTTATTCTCTTTCAGAATATCACCTTCCACTTTGGTCAATTTCCTCACCATTTCAAAGTTATTTGCAAAAACGTTAAGCAACCTCCCAATTTATAGAGTCATTAAAGATTATAGAGGCACTGAATTAAAGATGTTGTTGTTAAACTTTGTACAATTAAATCTACAGTGACTTTTATGTTATGTTCTTAATCTGTAGGCCTACCATTAATATTAGTGAGTAAAGTGGTGTATAGATTTCATAACCATTATTTTACTAGAGACCGTTGTATTTAACCACAACGGGCACTGTTGCTAGTCTATAGTATGTTTTTTAATCTTCATATATGAATTTTGAAATAGTATAACACTATTTGTGTACACATTGGTTCATTTCAATTTTCGGATTGATTCAAATTTTGTGTTTGGACAAGTTTATCAAGGCAAAATACATGGAGGTCGGGAAGTCCAATAATGGGTGCTACTTTCTCCTCTGAAACTGTTGTAGGATGCCAACTAATAATGAACTACGTTCAAAGAAAAGAGAACGTAAAAGTGTTCCAGGCCCACTAGTTCCAAATACTAGGTCATTCGTTGTACAAGGAAAATATCTACCGAATAGCCATTACAAAAACCCGGGCACCTCAAGTTATGCAAGATAAAGCTATGTTCGTCCCAACTAAAAAATTTCAATTCAAATATAATTTATTTCTTATTTTAAAGTTATTTTTTATATTACCTATCTATTTGTAGTTACTTTATGAGTTTTATTGATTCTATTTCATCCTAAACCTCAATCCGTTTTTACTTATTATATTTGGAATAATGGGTCTATCATAGAAAGAGGGAAGTGCTACATGATGTCTAGAGTAGAGCAACATGACCATTGCGTCTGTTGGTACTGACTATGTAAATATCATAGAAAGAGGGGAGTGCTAGGTGATCTCTAGAGGAGAGTGAGATGACTATTGCGTCTGTTGGTGCTGACTATGTAAATATCATAGAAAGAGGGGAGTGCTAAATGATGTCTAGAATAGAGCGAGATGACCATTGCATCTGTTTGACCATTGCGTCTGTTGGTGCTGACTATGTAAATATCATAGAAAGAGGGGAGTGCTAGATGATGTCTAGAATAGAGCAAGATGATCATTGCGTCTGTTGGTGCAGACTATGTTGATATCATTGAAAGAGGGAAGTGCTAGATTATGTCTAGAGTAGAGCGAGATGACCATTGCATCTGTTGGTGCTGACTTTGTAAACATCATAAAAAAAGAGGGCGTGCTAGATGATGTCTAAAAAGAGCAAGATGACCATTGCGTCTGTTGGTGCTGACTATGTAAATATCATAGAAAGAGGGGAGTGCTAGATGATGTCTAGAGTAGAGCGAGATGATATTGCGTCTGTTGGTACTGACTATGTAAATATCATAGAAAGAGGGGAGTGCTAGATGATGTCTAGAATAGAGCGAGATGACCATTGCGTCTGTTGGTGCTGACTATGTAAATGTAAATATCATAGAAAGAGGGGAGTGCTAGATGATGTCTAGAATAGAGCGAGATGACCATTGCGTCTGTTGGTACTGACTATGTAAATATCATAGAAAGAGGGGAGTGCTAGGTGATGTCCAGAATAGAGCGAGATGACTATTGCGTCTGTTGGTACTGACTTTGTAAATATCATAGAAAGAGGGGAGTGCTAGATGATGTCTAGAATAGAGCGAGATGACCATTTCGTCTGTTGGTACTGACTATGTTAATATCATAGAAAGAGGGGAGGG